AGGAAGCAGCAATAAGTATCATCCTTTTCTTTTTCATCGGTTATTAAAATATGTAAATCCAAATAAGGTGATCTCCATATGCATCAAGAGCTTGAGGAAACTATTGATTTATCAAATACTAAAAAGTAAAAACACCTTGTTGAAAGAAGAAATTCTGCAAAATGCTTTCATATTTATTCAATTCCATTTGAGCTACCAATACTAAGGGTCACAATCAAATCACAACAAGCACAAATAATATCAATGTAGTAAAGGGAACAGATTATACTAGTAATTGTGTGATCCAAAATTCAAGAAAATAGTAATTTTTACTTAAAAAAAAATTATCTATATAAAAGATTTCAACACATGAAGTTAAAGCTGTAACTGGAGAGACATAATAATAACCAAATATATGAAGAGAACATTACTATATGCATCTGATCGACAATCCAATCCTCAATCGATGAGTCCACGCCATTGAACAGATTAGGCCATCTCACTTTAGCAGCCTAAAAAAAAAAACACATAAAACCCAACAAAATGATACCACTAAAGTTCGAAAAAATAATTGCCAACACCATTCACCTAAACGCACATGAATATGAATTCTCACAACTAAATTACAACAACTGAACATAATTAGAAGCAAAAACCATGATTTGGTTGAATTATATTAACCAATGGCAAAAGCCCATCAAAGACTATAACCATAGGAACAGTATGACTGCGCTCGAAACCAAGTAAATGTGAGTCAAAATCAACATTCTTACCAGAAAATTAGCCATCAAATCATGATTATTGAATTACCAGCGTCATTCAACTCCACACGCGTGAATATACATTTCTCACAAGGGAATTTCAATAAAATTACCTAATTTGAAGCTATAATCGTGATTTTATTGCATTATTTAAACAAATGACAAAAACCCATCAAGAATATAACTTCAAGAACAGTAGAAATGCGCTCGAAACCAAGTAAATGTGAGTCAAAATCAAGATTCTTACCAGCAAATTAGCCACAAAAAAAAAAAAAAAAAANAAAAAAAAAAAAAAAAAAATCATAATTAAAAATCTAAAAAAAAAAATTGAAAAATGACAAAATATATGTTGATAGAACCTTGACAGCAGAAAGTGAGCTCTCCCCACAGCTATCGCAGAGGACTCCATCAAAATCCAGAGCATACAAATCCCCCATCACTGTGTATGACTGTGTGTAATTAATTTATTATATATCAAGAAAAGTGAAGTATAAAAATGAAAAAGGAAATAAAAATATTGCAGATAACATTCTGTTTATTACCCGCCACACCACAAGCGCACATAACGCCCAACACATATGGGCCTTAGAAGATGGGCCTTTGTGGGCTAATTCTCCGTGGGCTAAAAGAAAGAAAGCTTTCTCCATCAAAGTTTTTAAGTAATTAAAAATTTGTATTGTTTCTGTGTAATTTAATTAGGCAATTAAAATTATAATCACTTATTGGGGGTTTTTTATATTCAAATATAAAATATCATACACTTTATTGTAATTGTAAAAATATAAATCTCACTTTGAAAGAGCATTTTTCATCGTAAAAACCAACGTATCAACTTTAACACAATTATTTTCTAAAATCAATCTGATATTTACTAGAAAATAAATTCTATGAAATCAATTTGCCACTTGTTTATTTGCTTTCAAGTGATCTTTTAGTGTGAATATACAATTTCAGTGTTTCAATTTACAAACACAATAATTATACCTTAGCGTAAAATTCTACCCAAAAGGAAGGAATATTTAAGAGCCAAAGGATTGACATGATTTAACATATTGATTAATAAACCTCGTAAACATCGACTCATTTATTGTTGAATTAATTTCATTTATTTTTCAATTGAATCATTTCCATTTCAAATAAATTTATTTAATTCATTTGCTTGTGCTAAAGCAGATAGTCAGGTTGATTACAAGTTATTTTTCCTACTAGTATTCGACCTGTGCATTTGCACAGATATAAATAAATTATTGTGAGTCTGTATACATATAATAATTAATTATTTTTCTTTCACTTTTTTGCAGACCAAATTTACAATTAAAAGAGTTGGAATATTTTTTTTTTAAATTGTGTTTATCTGATTGGATGTAATGTATATTTTGGTACGTCTTTTATTTGTGAATTATTTATTATTTATTTAAGAATTTCAAATATATTTTTTATTTAAAAATAAAAATAAAAAATAAATGTAACAACAATAATAACATCTAATCACATTATACTGTCAACACATTATATGGTCAACTATCATTAATAAAAAATTTAAAATAATTTTTGTAATTTTGAATTGATGAGTATTAATTATTTAATGATTGAATGAAAGATTAAATACATCAAAATGTAACGGTTTTTGGAGGGAAAATTATTAAATTGCCACATAGGTAAAATTAAATAGGTTTTATTAAATGTTTTGAGCTAGTAATTATATATATAGATTCAACGAAAGTTTTTTTCCTCCCTTAAATTAACCCATGTTATTTACTTTATGACATGTAAGTGCTCGTTTGCTTGCTTGCTTTAAGAGATAACATTGGAATTTGATACTTGTCCAATCCATGAAGACAAAGGTTAAATAAAACGAAAGGTGTTATATTATAAAGTTTGTTTTGTATACTCACCAATCTTTCAACAAGAGACATTTTTTATTAGTACTACAACATTTGTGTATTGTATGGTATCAATTAAAATATATATATATATACTTAAAAAAATAAAAAATAAGAGTAGAAGATAAATTTTTAATACTGGTAAAAGAATTCATATCATCATTGTTTATTTAAAATGATACTCGTGGCTCTTAAAACTCGCTCGTCATATGTTCTAATTTAATTTCCTAATTAACATCATATAATAGGCTAGCCAATTTTATTTTGACTGATTAATATTAATTTTGTTGTTTTCTAGTTATATATTAATTCACTTTTATAAAAATATTAGTTTTATTTTATGTATACAATATGGACATCAAATTAAAAACAATGAAGAGACGATTAATTTAGCATATCATAAATAAAAAAAAATCATAAATACTGAATATTAATAAATTTTAAAGTATATTTATAAATGAAGTTAGTTAAATATTTTATAATTATTAAATTAAAAGCTCGTACAGAAAATCTCCGAATGCTATTTTAAAAAGCACCAAAAATTGACAATTAAGCTCGGAAAACGCGATTGTAATAGATTAAGCCCAATTATCAATTAGGCACATGGGCCCACTTAAATTGTAGCATGGCCCATACAACCGGCCGTCCTGGTTCAAGGTTTCAACCTATATAAACACTGAACTCTCTTCCCTTCATCCAATTTTCACATTCTCCGCTGTCCGCTCCAAATTCACTGTAGCGGCTGTAAGTGCGATCGATCACTAAATTAGTCCATTATTTCTTGCCCGATTGATTCTGTTTTTCCCGTTCAATTTATTCTGTGTAACTGTAAGATGAATTAATTAGTTTTTTTCCGTGTTCAGTTGATAAATTCGGGGATGAATTTCACATAGTTTTTTAGATGATTCTGGTTTGTGATTTTTCTGAAGTGTTTATGTGTTAGCCATGATGAATTTCTTACAGAGTATTGATTTTTATGTGTTTGATGGTTTTCTAGCGGCTGTATGCTTCTGTTGCGGGCTTGATTTTGGTGTAATACTGATTTTGGTGGTGTGAATATTTTCCAAGGTTTTGTGGTATGGATTGAAAAAAAAATTGTTTGAAACTGTAAGGGTACTGAGATTAGCAATGGTGTGTTTGTAGAAGTTTAATTTAAATGTTTTCAATTGGGGAATTTTTTGTTCATGGGAAGCTCGGTCTTAGGAAATAGTAATGAGGTTTTGAACAAGTAGTTTTTCGTTTCTTTTGGAGGGGAAATTGTTAATGTAGTGATTATATTCATGCTAAAATCTGCCGAGAATTGTGTTTACCGAATACGTACTCATTAGTTTGTGATATGAAAACTCGATTGCATACTTTTAGTTGTGCAAACATGATAGCCAGGAAGTGGGGGCAGGACATATGCTATACGTTCGAGCACATTTGGGTCGCCTAATTTATTAGTTGTGAGGGCCTTTCCTTTTTCTTTTATGTTGTTGAAATCGCTTGAGATTCATATGCAGAATACTATTTTTTTCAGTATCATGAGCATATCTTTAGTTTCGTGCACCTCATGTGAGAACTTATTATACTTACGGTAAGTTTTTGTTAGCATGTCACG